CTGCTCGACATCTCGTATGCCGTCTTCAAAAAAAAAAAAAAAAAAAAAATCAAGACCTGGTTCCACAATAAGCTTTTCTAAAAGATATCTTCAAGAAAGAACTTTTAAACAATTACATTCATATTTTTGTTGTTTGAAGTCCATGTGGGAGGAATTCTGTCTCACAGTCCTTCTCATATATAACTTTTGTTTTTGTTCAAAAGAAAAAAGTTTATTTTTTTCCTCCAAGGATTCTGCAGACAACACACCAGACCTCAAAGCTGATTTTTACACATATGCTTCTGTCTAATTCAGACCTGCTGGCAAATCACTTACATGAAACACAGAATTACCACAAACAGACTGCAAGCTTTTAAGAAATGAGATAGGATAAAATACACAGCATTAAAGTTATACTTAGTACACAGAAAAATTCCATTTATTTTGATAGAGTTCACTTTAAGACTTGGCAATTTCTAAATGGAGGTGTTCAAGTCTGTAGAAGTAGAAAGAGAGAACTGAACTAAACCTGTAAAATACGCTAACCACCCCCCCCCCTTTTTTTTTTAAATTAAAGTAAATCACTAATTTGGGTAGTTTGCTTACTGTTATATCACTGATTCATAAAAGGTGAGTCAATAGGCACAATTTTATTTGGGAGCTCCGGTGGCATAGTGCCGAAGGCATTTGACTGCTCACCAGAAGGCTGGCTGTTCAAACCCACCAGCCACTCCTCGGAAGGAAAACTGGGCAATCTACTCCTGTAGTCATCTGTTTTTTTTCAGTTATAAATGTGTGGAGTTATACTGCATAATGTACATGTCTGCAGAATGAAATTATAGTGTATAGATTTCTTAAGCAGCTGCCATAACATTTTAGAATTAAAAGGTATGTATTCCAGTAATGGAAAGTTTATAATTTTTGCAAATGCTCCTGGAGATTATGATAATTTCTGAATTTATAACATCCAGAGAAGCGAGCACACATAGCTATTATCATTCCATGCACTGCAATTTCTCTTATACGCTGGTGAATAAAGCCTTTGGGTACCTTCTAGTTCATCTAAAATCGGATGTAACGCCTGCAGTGACACACCAGAGACCACGTGCAAATCAGAGCCCTGTCGATTGGGTTACATGATGACAGGACAAATTAGTAAAAATTAGTAATTAATGGTCTGATTGAATAAAAAAGGACTCAAGTGCCCACTCACTTCAGACAGCCCAGTAGGCAACAGCCTTTTATTGCAAAAGGTAAAACTGCCTAACTGGAAATTTAAAATTGAATATGAATAAGACAATTATCAATTAAATACTACCCATTTTTCTCTCTTATAAGAGAAATAAGTAGCTACGTAGAAGCAAGCTTTTAACTGAGTTAGAAGAGCAAGTTGGAACGAGGGGCTTGCCCATCGCCTGATTCTGGAAGTGATAAGGTGCCAGACATGTTTCATGTCTTAGAAGTTTTCATTTAGGAATACATAAAACTATCTGAGATACTATTATAAACAGGGCTGAGAAGTACAGCCAAGGAAGACTTAGTATATATAGTATTTTAGTCTTTCCTAAATCAGCCTTGTTTCTACTATCCTGCCTATTACTGATAACTCTGTGTAAGGGCTGTCCCCAAATTTGCCGATTGTTAAGCTTTCACTATACAAATGGTCTTGAGCTTGGAATCCAGGAGAGAAAATCTCTGTCCTTTGTATACCATAGGCCCAAATTATAATGTCTCAGTTAAAACTGGGTATTTGAGTTTTAAAATAAAGCAAAACAAAAACAAAACTTTAAATTAGGATAGAATGCTACATTCCATCCTTCTGAATACTATAACGTGCATAGCAGGATTTCTTTAATTAGTGTATGTTGAATAAACATGAATGAATAGACACTGGCATATTAAAATCTATTTAATCAGCATGTATTATGTCTTTGGACACAGTCCTTTTTTTCATAGTGCCATAATTAATACCAGACTGGGAAATGCTACACTGGACAATGTTTTAACCAGAACTTCAACTTATTGCTTCATGTCAATAACCAGGACTTCAACTTATTGCTTCATTTTAATTTTCCAGAGAGCTATAGTATATCAACGTGCCCCAAATCACATAAACTCTCACATTTCGTACACTTCTCTTTTCTTTTCTGTTTGTGTGTTTTAAATGAAGGGACAAGCTCATTACTCATATTCTGCATGTCTAATGAAACTGCTTCTGTTTGTCTGTTTTTAAGTATCATCCAGAGAGGAAGCACAGCTAATGTCAGATAATGCGGTTGTGACCTTCACCTTCTGGGAAAATTAATATGCTTCATAGCTTTCCCAGAGGAGAGTAGTTTTTTACTTTCTCCAGAGAAGTCCAGGAGGTGGAGTAGTTCATCTGTTCAACCACTAGAATCTTCTTGCACCTACAGTAGTAGTGCCTGGCATACTATTATCAGTTCCTGGCATAATGTATCAGTCAACTCCAACTCATGGTGACTCCATGTGTGTCAGAAAAGAACTGTGCTCCAGAGAGTTTTCAATGACTGATTTCTTGGAAGCAGATCACCAGACATTTCTTCCAAGGTACCCGTGGGTGGACAAGACTGCCAACCTTTTCTTTTGTTTAGCAGATGAGTGCTTTAAACTTTACACCACCCAGGGACATTGGTATACTACAGGCACTCAATAAACACATGCTGGATGAATGAATGGGGACCCAGAGAAAGGTATGCACTGAGAAAAATGTAAGTTTCTCAACTGTAAAACTGGAGACACTGGGTAAATATGATTAACATCCTTGCTACCTCAAAAGTGCTGTAATTTTGCCACTAATTAGAAAAGTATGCTCTGAAAGTTTTACAGGTATCAAGATATTAAGGAAAACTTTAAGAAAAAATTTTTTCCTCATGGCTTTTTTTCCTTAAATGAAACATTAAATCAAAGACTTAAAATAACATCGAACTGTGGTGTAAAGGAGAAATAACATATAGCAGAACCCCCACCCTCCGCACTCCGTACCTGTTCCTGAAATATTTTGGCCAACGGGGCGCAGTCTGTCAGTTTAATAAACCTGACCACATCAGTCACCGTCCATTCTAATGGGTTGCTCTCCAGGACAAGTCTCTCCTCCTCTTCTTGTTTTATTTCCTACAGACGGAATGGAAACAGGAGATCACTTCATTGCTTCACCATCTTTTCTAAAACCCTCTGGGACTGAGCCAGCCTTTCCTGGACCACAAGCTACCTCTTCCCTTTGGTCTCTCGTTAGGCATCTTAACAAGCTCCAGAGCCTTTCGTTCTGTAGGAATTTTCTTATCAACCTGTCTGGGTTATGACTTTGTCTACAGTGACTTGGGTATGTTTAGAGTAGAAAAAAAAAAGGCATAGTGACAACAGTTCTTGGATCCTAAGTTTAAGAAATCTTGGGTCAGCTTACTAGTGAAGCATCCCTGATTGAAAAAAGCATAGGAGAGATGATAAGGGGCTTACCCAAATATATATAAGAGAGCCAGTCCCCTTGGTTCCCCACTGTTTACTTTTGTGATGACAGTGCCAATTACCTTTTCAGCTGATCATATACCAACCCCATGTGTTTAGGGAAGACCAGATACATTGATTAATATTTTATAATAACCTGGAAGTATCCTATAAAGGGGGAAGCAAAATACAGGGCAGTGATGGGAGAGACTGAGACAGAATTCTGGAAATCCAGTGCACACAGGGACCTTGATGACTTTATCCTGTTCATTCCCTGCACCTAACTTACTCTTGATGGATAAGAATCTCTTGCCATCTTAAAGTTTTCCAGAAAAAGAGATGCTATTACTTCCCTTAGAACTCCATTCTGGTGTTCAATGATTAGCTCTGCTGAGATGTAAAATCACTAAGCCTTTTGCCCTTGACTTAGAAACGAAGCTAGAGCAGCTGCTAGTGTTTCTGATATTTTAAGCTTCCCCAAATCAAAGATCTGAATGCTAATGCTTTTTCTTCTTAAAAATGAGAGATAAACACTGTATCCCCTAACGTCATCCATGCACATCAGATTTAGGGTTCTGCCTGTAGAGCTTTACCTCTGCTCCTTCTTGTTTGGCTGGTATGCACTTATCTTCCTCTACATGGGAGGGGGGTTGTGCTTTTCTGCCCCTCCGTGTTCTTTCCACAGGAGGGCGTCTCTCTGGCTCTGAGTTGCTCCTCAGGGTGACTGCCCTGCGGGGCCGGGCAGAGGGAACTTCCACGGAGGAGGTGTCTGTCTGGTCATCCCGGAGCTCTGAGCCTGTTTCCTCACTCCCTGTGTCATCCTCCATAACATCTGGGTCCTCTTCTTCACTTTCCTAGTTAAGACGAGAAATCCACTTATCATAAGTTAGGCTTATAAAGGGAGCTTTGTAAACAAAATAGGGTGGACTGAAACTACAGTCCAAGGAGGCATCTGAAGGCCAATTCTATTAGCTCAACGTAGCCCTTTCCTAGCTAAAGTTGCTGGAAATGTTAACTATCTTCAACAAATTAGGAGGTGGACCAATGTCACCAAACTATTTATGTAGAAGTTGGGTAACGGGATCCTAAACTGCTATGTAAACCATCACCAAAACACAATAAAACATTAAAAAACAAACAAGGAGGAGGGCTCTTCTAATTTCTTGTTTCTAACCACTCAGCTTTAGGCTTCAGTTGCAGCCCTTGTTGCAAAGCAGTCACATTTGCCAACTAGAGCCTTAAGTGCTTTTGAGTAGCACGTACCTCCCCTGACCCTGTCGTGAAGTCCACAGTAGAAGACCTCCGTTTCTTCTGCACAAAAATGGATTTTCGACGTTTCCTACGTCTGGCTGGTTTAGGGTGCCCGCTTTCAATGCTGTTTTCACCAATTGGGGGCTTAATGATCTTCTTTCTCTTTCCATAATAATAGGCTACAGGGAAAATGATGATTAAAAACATTGTCAGTGGCTTCACAAACACATACATACAAGGGGAGAGAGAATAGAGAAGAAGAGAGGGAGAGAAGGAGGCAAAAGAGTAAAAGACAAGGAGACATTCTTTCATTTGGGGCAATAAAAATTTGTCATTTTGAGAAAACAGTTCCACAGACAGGAAACATCCCTCCAACACCCTCAGATTTAGATGGGGAAAAAGTTAGATACGCCCACAGTTTGTAAAGGGTTTTCTTGCTGCCTCCTTGCCCTGCCCCAAATACTGCATACAGTTGCAGTGCTGGCAACTGCCTCCCACTGGAGTGCTTGGACAACTGCTTCCCAAGTCTGAACTGTGAAGAACAGTCAATGAAGATCAGTCAGTGACCATGTTCTAGAGTGCCCTTATCATGAGTCATTTCCCCGATCTCTTGATCTGACCAAGATAAAATGGTGACCTAAAACACACAGCTCTGGTGGCATAGAACCTAAGGCATTTGGCTACTAACCAGAAGGCTGGCAGTTCAATCCCACCAGCCACTCTTCATAAGGAAGATTAGGCAATCTACTTCTGTACAGATACCACCTCAGAAACCCAAGGAGGGGTCACTTGAAGTTGGGATTGACTCAGTGGCAGTGAGTTTGGTTTGTTTTTTTAAGCACACAGGGCAAATTAATAAAGCACCAGTTTTCTTTTCAAATATTGCTCCTTATCCATATTTCGTTTTCTTATTAGGTGGAGACTCTCATTACTTATAAATTCTATGTTGTTCTTGTTAGGTGCCACTGAATTGGTCCCCAACTCACTCTGGTATCACTGCCCTCTCTAAATTCTACAGCAGGGATAGATATCTACATGAACACTTACAGCACTGATTAGAGTATTATTTACCAGCTTTCAATAAAAATTAATGTACTTTATAAATTAAATGTATATCCAACTAATTAAAACCACTAAGAATCCAGTATTTAATTATGATCATGATCAAAACAGCTTAGTCACTGACCAAAGGCTCAACTGCCCTATATTATAACTCCCATTATTCCATACAAGAACCAACTATAGAAAAGGAACCTTTATCTATGGATGGAGTGAACCAAAAGAATTGAAAATGAAAACCTCTGAGTGTAAAGTGACCTCCCCGCATTTTACAGTGAAGCATGGCTTCAGTGTATTCTTCACTGCTGTGCCATGACTTGTATTATATAGATATGATGCCTAGCCATTTTGGACCTCAATATTCTTGTATGTCCAATGAGACTATTGGTACTAACTAACTAACATAAGCCTCATAGGGACAGTGGTGGTTAGGAGAGAATTCTTGCCTCCCACGCAGGAGGCCTGGGTTCAATTCCCAGCCGATGCACTTCATGTTACCCCATCTGTTAGTGGAGGCTTGTGTGCTGCTGTGATGCTGAGTAAGTTTAATTGGAGCTTCTAGGGTAAGATGGACTAGGAAGAAAGGTAAATATGAAATTTCAAAATTCAGCCAAAGAACACTCTATGTATCACAATGGTCTGATTTGCAACTCATTGTGGATATCCTGTAAGACCGGGCAGTGCTTTGTTTGGACTGCATGAGTTGGAGCCAACAACAGTACAGGCTCCCTTCAGGACCAAAATTCCCTATTCCTTTCACTTGAATTGGGTCCACCAGAGTGGCATCTACAAACACTGTTGAGAAATCACATCACTGCAGCCCTGTCACTCACAGAAATGCACACCTGCTGTGGCAAGTATCTGCAAGCTCTAATCAATCTCCTCAAGGGGAAGACTGCACAAGAACATGAAATAATGTCCCATCTCCAGTTCTTCTGGGACTATGCTCCTTGATAAGCACTTATGAATGACTGTTGTGTGAATGCTGTCTCATGGTTACCTCTAGGTACCAGGTATAAATGAATAAGCATTTTTTCACACTCAAAAAACCAGTGGGCAAGCCAAGTTCGGTGCAGTTTTATTTTTATTTTTTTAATTATTTTTAAAGAAAGCAGTTTGATTTAAAAAAAAAAAAAAGATTTTACTGAATGCAACTGAAGTGTAATACATTTTTAGAGCCTTAGTTAGACTGGGTGATGGCTACCCTTACTGCTCTCACTTCTACCTCAATAATGTTTTATCATCCTCCTACTGGTGCTTTAGTTCAACCATGAGCAATCTTCTCTGTAAGCTGACCCAAGGGATTTTAGGATTCTGAAGTTTTATAATACCAGACCCAGAAAAATATTTAAATTCATTTCAGTTGTGCCAAGGTTGTAATAACCTGATTCTCCCTGTGTTCTGAAAATACAAAGAAGTCCATTTTCAAAGTAAATATTCAAGGCCAAGTTTAGCCCTCAGTCAACTCCTTTTTTCATTCAGGAATACCTGTTACTGAGTAGCCTATTTTGGTGACTGTCTTCTCCGGCCACATGTAATATGACGTGGACTTAAGTTCTTCAGAGAGCACCTGCTTTCTCAATAAGCCTACAGTCTTACATGAGTGAACATGTGCGGATTGAAATGAAGTTCATCATAACAGAAAATGTAACTTATTTTTTGTAGAGATGTGAAAAATAGATCTTAAAAATCTACATGTACGTATCTATAACAGAAGGAAATTCACACTCTGAAGAGTGTTTCAAATAGCCTCAGCTTCTTGGTTGTGACAGATAAGTTGACAAGTCACAGAGGCCTGCTGCTCACAGAGCACCTATCACCTTGGGTCCTCATAATACTCTAGCAGTCATCTTGAAACACTGGCTGACAAAGCGAACTTCTAGGTCACAAACTGGGATGCAGTCTACTCCTTGGTTTAGTGGTAAATGAGGAGAGATACATAATGATCAGAAGTTGAAGACCAGAGAGAAAGTTTTTAGAGCTTGAGGTATCTGAGGTAGAGGCATGTGGGAGTGGCTAAGGTGGGTGGAGAAGAAAGTCATCTGAGTAGAGGAAGGGCAGGGTTTGGGAGAGGCTATCAGCAGAAGGCCAAAACCAAACCAAACTATAAAGAAGTAAACCAGTTGCTGTCTGGTTTACTCTGACCCATGGTGACCCCATGTGTGCCAGGGTAGAAGCACACTCTATACTGTTTTCAAGGCTGTGCTCTTTCAGAAGCAGGCTGCCAGGTCTTTCTTTCAAAGTGTCTCTAGGTTGAGTCTGAACCACCAACCTTTCAGTTTGTAGCCTGGTGCTTACACCCAGGACCTCTATGAACAGAAGGTCAAAGTCACTAAATGTGATTGATGGTGGTGTATATTAAAGGCAAGTGCTATAGATAGGGAAAGGTCAGAGCAAGAATGAAATGGGCAGGTGTTAACACCTCTGAATCCTGAGTCACAGGTGGAGAAGCCAAACAACCGGGAACAAAGCAAGTAATGATAATTTCTGAATCCTCAGATTACTCCACTAGAGGCAGGTTTGATGAATATGGTAAAAGCAGGGGAGAAGCAGAATACGTTAAGGATATTTTCCCTGGGTAAGGAGGAGCTCTGGTAGCATAGTGGCTAAGACACTTGCCTGCTAACCAGACGGCTGGCGGTTCAAACCCACCAGCCACTCCTCGGAAGGAAGGTTGGGCAATCCTACTTCCGTAGTGATAACTGCCTCGGAAACCCAAGGAGGGGTCGCTATGAGTCGGGGCCGACTCGACGGCACATAACAACAACAACAACAAGGAAGGACAACAAAAGAATTACAGTTTCCCAGTTTAAGCAATTCTGGTTACTAACCATTACTAATAATAACTTTTATTATAATTATCTTTCACTCTACTGGAATTCATGATAGTATAGCTCTGGTGGCATAGTGCCTAAAGCATTTGACTGATAATCAGAAGGCTAGCAGTTCAAACCCACTAGCCACTCCTCGGAAGGAAGACTGGGCAATTACTTTCTGTAGAGATACTGCCTCGGAAACCCAAGGAGGGATCAACTATGAGTCGAATGGACTTGATGGCACGAGTTTGGTTTTTTGTTTTGGTATCATCCTCATCCCTTCCTTATACCAGGCTAAAAACACAAATGTATCTGCAATGTTGTTGTTGTTGTTGTTGTTATGTGCCGTCGAGTCGGCCCCGACTCATAGCGACCCCTCCTTGGGTTTCCGAGGCAGTATCACTACGGAAGTAGGATTGCCCAACCTTCCTTCCGAGGAGTGGCTGGTGGGTTTGAACCGCCAGCCTTCTGGTTAGCAGGCAAGTGTCTTAGCAATAGCAATTCTTAAAGATTTCTTCCATAGCAATTCCTACAAAAACAATCCAAAAACTATTTTTTATCGGGGTGGGGGATGGGGGAGGAAGGCCAAGTATCACACTTTAGGTCCATGGGCCCATGATTTTTCATTATTTGTACTTACTGTATTTGGTTTTAGTATGAATGGAGCAGTTCTCTGGGCAGTTTTCAGACACCAACACAGGACTAAACAAATTTGGACAGCATTCTAGCTTAGCACAAACTCTTCTGCAGAAATCTGCTACTTGGTCAGATGTTCGCACAATCTTGACCACTGCTCTGTATGTTTTGCCTCTATACCTAAAACATGAGGAAGGAAAAACAATGGCAAGACCAAGTTATGACTCAGACTTATTTTGGACAGTATATCCCAAAAGCAACCATTTTACTTTCTAACAACAAAGCATATTGTGAGTGATTTTCATTTTATTTGTTTTTATAGTTTCTAGTGATCTCATTGCAATATTTTAAGAAATGTTCAATATCATGTACAATATATGTGAATAAGAATGCCAAAACAACTCACTGTAATAAAGATCTCTTTCTAGCATATTCTCATTGTATTATATATAATTGAATACCAAAATCAGTAGTGTATATACTTAGCTAATGGGCATGATTCTCAAAACAAAAGATAACGAAATATAACGTATATTTTCCTGCTGCTCTACTATCTATCTATCAATCGATCTATTTATTTATTTATTTAGGGGGGAATATTAGCTACTCCTCGGAAGGAAGGTTGGGCAATCTACTTCCATAATGATACTGCCTCGGAAACCCAAGGAGGGGTCGCTATGAGTTGGGGGCTAACTCAACGGCACATAACAACAACAACAACACTAGTGCAGTAAGGACCCTGGTTCTGCTTTGAAAACCACACAAATTCAGAACAATAAAATAGTATCTTCATCAAGACTGCATATCATATTTTTGAAATGGGGGCAATTTCCATTATTTATAAATGGTATCTGTGCAGAACAGAATTAGGAATAACCACTTGGTTGGCAAGGTCACATTTAAAAGGAAAGAAACCCAAAAGATCTTAAAAGGAGGTGAGGACCAACAAAAAAGTACAGCAGCCCTATGAATAAGAAACCAGCAGAGTCCATACGGATTCCCTGAATCCGTGAGCTCAGAAGCAAGCAGCTTTGGTGCTCAGAGAACTCTAACAGACCTCAGGTGAATTATTACTTAAAGGAAGAGACTTCTGTTATTTCTTAAGTATAAAAGTGCAACATGGAATGATAAAGCCCTTACATGTAGCTGGCCCATTACGGTAACCACTCTTCTTGCTTTCCAGGTTGAGAATGCAAAAAGTGGCTCAATGAACTAAAACTTGCTTCCAGAGAAGCCACCTGCACTTCCGGTCTCACCTACCACACGTTTTGTTTTCCTCTCTACAAAGCAGTCTAATGGAGGGGACTCACACAGGACCTTTATCTTCATGCCACAAGGGGGAAGGGAGGTTTCTGCAAAATCAACCCAAAGCAGAAGGAATGAACTACCCACATAAATTGACATTATCAATTCATGAGGTAATGACATGAAATCTTTGTCAAACCTGCTCTTTCACAAATTCATTCAGGTATCCATCAGTCTATTATGAAACTTGGCAGGAACACCAAATGTGTTATACAAGTATGAAGATAAAATAAAGAGATTCTGATTTTTTTTTAATTTTCAAATAAACATTAAATTCAAAACTGGTGATCTCATTCAAAAAGAATAATGTGTGATATAAATAAATATAACTTCTACTGAGTTTATTTCAACTTTTTTGGAACTGGAAAAAATATCTTTTTTCCCTCTCAATTCATTTTTTAAAATATCAACATTAAAAAAATTAAATTAAAATCTAACTTAAAAAGACTACATTTTTACTCTAGGTCTGAAGTGTATCCCAGGGCCATAGTATTGGGGGTCCCACCAGGCTCCATCCAACCAGTAATTCTGGTCATTATTGTTTTTTTTTTAATTTTTTTCTACATTTGTCTTTGCACTATATCCAGGATCTCCAGTGGTCCTTTCCTGAGTGGTTGGCATTGGTAGCCAGACACCATCTAGTTTTTCTGGTCTCAAGGTCCATCATGTCCTAGGGCTGATTGCTTCCAAATGCCCTTAGTTTTTTGCACTCTTCTTCACTTCCCAGCTAATAGGAGACCATTAGCTGCATCTTAGATGGTCACTTGAAAGCTTTTAAGACCCCAGTTGCTACTTATCAATGTAGGTTGTGGAACAAGATTTTTATGTATTTTATTGTGCCAATTGAGTCTGGTGTCCCCCAATACTATGGTCTTGAATCAGTAGATCCACTGGAGATCTCTCCCACAGTGTCTGGCTGTCTGTGAGGGATTATTCTGTGTCTGTCTTCTGCTGTTTCTGTAAGGATTATGGGTATTTTGTATCACTGGTATCCGTGCAAGATTAGCCTCAGCTGAATCTATCCTTGGTCTAGAGTATAATCCTGTTCACTGACCCCTATCTGATCTCCTCAGATGTTTATGTGTTTATCTGTAGCCTGGTGTTTGGTGTGAATGGTAATGTAGTATTGTGGATATACTGGTATTAGCCTCTGTTGTCTATATCTTATGTGCATAATTCGATGTCCTCCCTTTCCCCAATGTTATCATGGTAGTCACAGACTCTTTCCATATGATCCCTCCCCTTTCCCACCTCAGCATGTGGCCCTCTCCTTCCCTCCCTACACTGGTAACCTACAAAGTAAGTTCCCTTCCTTAAACAAACCATCCCTTGTCTTTTTACAGTAATGGCTCATACAATATTTGTCCTTCTGTGACCGACTTATTTTACTCAGTATAATGTCCTCCAGGCTCATCCATGTTGTGTGATGATTTGTACATCTAATGTAGCATACTATTCCATTGTGTAGGAGCTCTGGTAGCATAATGTCTAAAGCATTTGACTGCTAACCACCCCTCAGAAGGAAGGTTGGACAATGTACTTCCATAGTGATACTGCCTCGGAAACCTGAGGAAGGGTCTCGATGAGTCAGGTTCAACTCCATGGCAATGAGTTTGGTTTTGATTCCATTGTGAATGTACCATAATGTGGTTATCCATTCATCTACTGATGGACATTTAGGTTGTTTCCATCTCTTTGCTTGCTATAGTGGAACTCACTCCCAGGGGACAGCTCTCAGCCCAATAGTAAACAAGACATACACGCAGACCACTCAACCCAGGGTGATGCATCCACATACTCTATGGAGATGCATCCCTTGGAGCAATTGACCATGGGGCACCACAGGGGCAATATTCACATGAAGGAAATGCAGGACACACAGGAGTGCATAACTATGAGGGGCACAGGAGGAGGGGGTACTGGGAAGGAAGGAGAGGAGAGTGGGTTAGGGTTGGGGATGGTAACTGGGGAGTGAAACCAAATGTACACGAAATGTTGAATGTAAAACAAACTGCTCTGTAAATCCGTACCTAAAGTGCACACACACACACACACACACACACAAAGACTACATTTTATGTTTATTTACTGGACTTTCCTATCCAGGCCCTTCTTTAATCTTTTTCTATGATATGCCAAGCTTGACTTTCTGTGTAGTAAGAACTAAAAAGCAATCCTTTGTAGATAAGATCATGCTTTACATCCTATAGCACTGTGCAGCTGTTGATTTTTCTAGGACCTCTATCGACCTTTGATGTAGAAGCTTCTCTCTCCTTTCCTTTGAGGAGGGCCTCTATGATTCATTTTTGGCTGGTTCTTGCCTACTGCTTTCATTATTTCCCATGATAAAAATGGCACAATTTGGTGAACAGAGTATCTCTCTAATGTTTTGGGAGATATAGAATAAATATATTTTATTGGTACATTTTCCCTTGTAGTTTTATGCATCATAATGTCCACGGGCTGAAGGCTCTGTACTGAAGAGCTCAATATCAAGTTCTTTAAAAAAATTTTTTTTAATGTAAATCAGTGTCAGGACACTTAAAAAATACTTAAAGTCTCTTAAAAAATAGTAACAACAAGAGGTAAAAAGACAGGAGAAATATGACAACCAGGTCAGGCTTCACCTGTGGAACTAGGGCTCAGAGGTAGATATTTATGAGCTCCAAATCTTCAAATCAGAATGCAGACAAGTCCTGTGACACACTGGAGGGAAGTATGAAGAAAGGGAAAAAAATATACATGCAAAAAGGAAAAGCTCCTCAAAAACATGGCTTCTTGGTTTTTTGTTGTTGTTGTTGCTAGTCTGGGATGAGTAGAGTAAGCATTTTAGTGAAATCTTGTACAATCAGGACTATCTAAATTGATTAAAATAAAAATTACAGTATAGATAAAAACTAAACAAACTTCTTTCCTCTTCCTTGCCTTCTCTGAAAAATTATGCCTAAAAGCCATGGTGGTGGTTGGTGGGGTATGAGCGAGGAGCTAAGCAAGAAAGGTGTACAGCAAGGGGGTAGAGATGGTAGGATTGAGATGTGAGATTCCAAGTTGGGTAAGGAGGGCACAGGTTAACAAAAGCATGAACTGGGTGAGGTGAGGATACTGAGACATGTTGCCTCCATCTCTCTTCAGTGAAGGGCTTGCCACTGACAGATAGCTTTCAGCTGTCAGAACCCTTAGTTTGCCCCAGCTACAAAAAGCTACCCATCCCTTGTCTTTCTCAGGGTCAACCCTATCCAATAACCCAATGGCCTAACTTGCCTAACCAATCCATTCTAACTCACGAGCTCCTCTAGAGCTATAGTTAGGATCAATTTCTATTCCGCTTCTATCCTCTTTCTCTCACAAGTGCTGGTAACAAGGGCTTATCTTAATAAACACCCTGAACATTAAGACCCGTCTAGGAGGAATGACACCCATAGCATTAGCAGCAGTGGGCAAACTTAATGCCAGATCTTGGCTTCTAAATATTTAATATAATAGCAAAAAATAAGGCTTCTTGGAGAAATGGCAAATTCTAGGACTGGGGTTGGAAAAGGACAAGATGATCTGGGAAGATCTTGGTTCAGAAAGTGAGAAAGTTTCAAAGAATGATGGAAACATGTAGAAAGACCATAAAAGCTAGCTAGATGTAGCTCCCACTGGCCTAATCTGAGCATTAAAATAAATAATGGTAGTAATGGAATGTAATCCATTGAATAAAATAGGAATCTAATATTTAATTCATTGATATAAATAAATGAATAAATGACTTTGATGAGTAATGAGATATTTACATAGGTATCAAAGTATCTCCCCACAAAGTAGTTTTACACTGGGAACCCTGGCAAGTATCACCCTAATGAAGGGATCAAAGTTAGCAACACCAATAAAAT